AACATGTATGATGTAAGAACTAAATCTGTCTATTGTAGGTTTTTTGGGGTTTTTTTGACTTCAAATGTTATGAAGGATATTTAAGCCTATAAGGAACTCTCTTGATCATTGGGGGGGGGGGTTGGATGGCTGAATGGTTAGCGTACGCGCGCTGTATCGTAAAGTCTGTCATTGATCGACTGGCGTGGTTTCGAATCCCAGGTTGTATGTCACAAGGAGTAGGGTCGCCTGTCCAACCTCATGGGTTTTCTCCGGGTCCTCTGGTTTCTTCCCACTTCTAAAGACCCCTATGCGCAAGCAAATTATTGAAATAAAAAAAATTAAATCATATGTTAGTCCCAAAGTGACCTAGCTTGTGTCAAGTGGACGTTAAACCCCATTTCTCTCTCTCTCTCTCTCTCTATTGATCATTGGATGGCAGAGACTTAAATAGATTGAAACAGGATCACTTTTTAATATGGTGAATCAAGGTTTAGTCTTAATTAACAAGCACCGTGGCTACGACAATAAATAATGTCACATCTTGTCAAAACTTCAATTCATGATAATTTCACTCAGAATAAAGTATTTTGAATAAAAATTTCAATATATTCATTATGCATTATCTAATTTTAAACTATTATAGCACGAACAGTCAACTCTTTATCTAAATCTCGTACATTTAATTTGTTTCTATGGCTACGTGTGCTAGGAAGGTGAATTTTGTCCAGACAGCAGTAGCGTTTTCACCTACTCTTTCATCTTATTCCCAGGATCACATGTAAACATGGGTGGTCCTCAGTTTTTTGTACGATCCCTACTACAAGGCAGCTTTTCATTTGTCATCCCCGCAGGAACCACCCCTAACAAGTGAGAACCAGACTTGAAAAATTCTGAAAGTTCTCCTTCCCATGCCAGGATTTAGACTCAGGACCTTCTTTCCATGGCAGGATTCAGACTCTGGACATTCTTTTCATGGCAGGATTCAGACTCGGGACATTCTACCCAAGCCAGGATTCAGACTCGGGACATTCTTCCCACACCAGGATTCAGACTCGGGACATTCTTCCCACACCAGGATTCAGACTCAGGACATTCTTTTCATGCCAGGCAGCATCATAATAAAAGCCTCCTTTGCTCATTTTTGTATCCAAATGGTTTTCTCCAGATCGTCTGGTTTCCTCCCAAGCTAATTATTGAAATAAAATTGAACATTTGTCACAAAATTTCCCAGTTTGCATCGCATGCATGTTAAACCACATTTCTCTATCTCACTCTTATTTGTTTTTGTATCTTATTCTTTATGCCTTTAAATTGTACAACATCTTCCAAATAAATACTGTTTAAACCAAAACCAACCAATACTTGACCAATATAAAATCGTGATGGTATGTGATTGATGTTTATGCCAAGATGGAGTGAAGACGAATAGAAAAAGCTTTTAAAAGACTTTTTGTTTATTCCAGATGATAAAAAGCAGGTTAAAACAATGTAGGTGAAAAGATATATTACACAAGAACGTTAAATGGTTGTCGACATTTATTTACACGTATGGAAACCATTTTGTTTCCATTCCAATTTCTAAATGGACTCAAATATTTATGTTAATGAAAATAGAAGGAATTACTTCCAAGGAATCTATCGACTCTATCAGCGAGTCTCTTTTCTTTTGATCAATATGTCATTAATCACAAAATTGCATAGTTCCAACATCGTCATACACGGGAAAATATAAATACCATCAGAGAAATCGACAATACAGAGGAGGGAAAAGAAAAACAGTTTCACAGGTTATAAAACTGTGGATCTGCTCCTAACTTCAAAGGCTGATATGAGAGAGAGAGAGAGAGAGAGGGAGAGAGAGAGAGAGAGAGTTTTAATGTGCACTCAACACAAACTAGGTCATTTCAGGACTAACATATGGTTCAATTTTATTTTAAAAATTTGTTTGCTCGTAGTGGTCTATAGAAGTGGGAGGAAACTGGAGGATCCAGACAATACCCAAGCGGGGAGTCAAAACTATGCCACTTGACTCAATGACAGAACTTATGATCTAACGCGTTAAAACATTCAGTCACCCAAACCCCCCACCCACAGAAAGGGGAAAGAAAAAAAATTTCGCTCTTTTATAAAAGTGTTCGTCTGCTCTGTAACTTCAAAGGCTGGGATGCAAAATATATTCAGAAGTGTTTTAACATAAGTTCAAATCTGTCCTGCTTTTAATAATCTTCATGATGACGATTCTTTGTATAGTTAACAAACTGATCTTATCAAAACTAAGAAAGTCTGTTGTTCCATTAAGTCTTGTTTATGGAGTATTTTGGATCAGATTGAAAAACTCCTGCCCTCAACACTATAGATGTCGGAGACTCTGGCCTGGAAATAATATTTTTTCAGTTGTCCCTGACAAAATGTCATGCACTGCTGATCTAGTACCTGACATTTCGAACTTTATGCAGGATGTGTAATTGTATCAATAAAAACACAAAAAAAATAGAGATTACGTACCTAATCAAATTTATGTTTATGAAATGTGGTTTAGACAGAAACAGGCACTTGATCGACATAAGAGTGCGCGGGAATCTCATGAGATTTTTATAATTTTTTTCTTGTAATTATGATCACATAGTGTCTAGTTGGTGATGTTAGTGTCTCTGTGGTTCGGCACAACATCATTTTTCATGTGTCTGGCCTGCTTTCGTCTGAATTAAGCTCAACCGTCTGAATTAAGCTCAACCGTGGCGGAGTAAGGAACATGAAGTTAGGCTAACTATTAATTGTTGCCATTTGGAATAGTCATTTATATAATATAATAAATTCACATTTTACACCACCAACTTGAATTCTTTTTGTATAGGCCGGGGGATGTTGTCAGAGGCTGAAAACACAGAAACAAATCTGTGCTAGACAAAATGACAGACATGAGATGGATTGTGCCTGACAAGGCCTGAAATTGTGCCTGTGAAAGATGCCTTATCAAGACTGCATTTAAATATACAATTTAGTGTCAATAAGTCTCATAGTCATAGAAGTGTTACCTTTCTGTTCACAGAAGACCTGATAATTTTACCTCAATAATTTCACTAGTCTATGATTATCAAGTCTTTTGTCTAAGGAACATACTAATCACTTACCATCATTTGAGGGATTGTGAAAGTTAAATCTTTAGAAGGAATATCATTCCAAATATACTTCAAGGCTATTTAGTATTTACAAAGATATTATGATTTGAAAATATCCCAACATTCGAAATCCTCTGCAGAAAATATAAACAAACCAGTGCCACATATAAGTGTTGACTAAAATGTTTGGATTGGCCTCTTTTAAATCCAATTGAATCCAAACTAAGATATTATGTACATTGTACCATCAATATTTTTGTTTGGTTTTGTTAATTAAATGTTAAAGGAGCTAAATCACCAATTTTGGGATCTGAAAATTAACACAAATGGGTTGCAACGCATTCAATCCTTTCCGTTTTTACTCTAATTTCAAATCATTTACGTTTGGCGTCATAGACAAGAAGTCATCGTTTGACATGACTTGTAGAATATTCTAGCTTCATTCTTCGAGTCCCTTGTTACTAATGGCGCTGAGACGCATTCTGGTACACGTTTCGTGTACCAATGGTAAAACATTTATTTTGTCAAAAATATTGGATATATAAGCCCATCTTTTCTCGGTAAGATCACAACATCAATGTTGATTTAAATTAACAAATAATTTGTGTTTTCAATTTCGAAGACTGTGAATGATATTGAGTTAAAGACTTAACTACTTTAAATAATTAATTTTTGAGTGCATTTGAACGTGAATTAAGCTGTAAAAAATGCCAATGACGATCCACATCTTTAAAGTAAATGATTATGTTCTACTACTTGTTGACATAGAAGCACTCAGCGTACTTGTATCGAGATGTATTTTTGTAATATTTTTGGCTAACTACTTAACCTTGCAAGGAGAAAAAAAATAACTCAAATAGACAAGTGCAATTCTTTGGTTATGTTTCTTCTTGCACGCTACTTATCAACCCCAGAAAAACTGTTTTAAATTAAATCTGTTTATTAGAAAATAAACTGTTTGAAATATTGACAAGTGTGATACTTTGGTTATATTCCTTATACTTCAACCCTATAAAAACTGTTTTCAAATAGACCCAATTATTTGAAAATAAACGGTTTAAAAAATAGACCCGCCCAAAAATTAATGAAATTTAATAGGGAACTTTGTTTAGTGAAAACAAAATTAATCTTTGATTTGGGAATATGGCTTGAACAAAAATATAAATGGCAACTTCCTTGTGTAAAAAAAAACAAGCTTAATTGCTTTATGCGAAGAGAACAATTGAATTTAATATAATTTTGATTGAGATTCTATTAGAAAAACAAATAAATCTGCCGTTGTTCATATTTTGTTTTTTGTTTGTTTCAGTGCCTTTTAAAAAAAAAAAATTATTTCGGGTGCTTGTTACAGATTGGTAATTTAGTTTTTAACCAATTTCGTTTCAAGTTTTAAAGAATATATTCTATATATTCTCAATTCCCCGTGTGTTTACTACAATATGATAGACCCAATATATTTTCAATAAGTTTATTTTCAAGTTTTGAGTATCAGTATATATTTTCCATTCTCTGTATCTTGTATATGTACAGTGCAGTGGACACTTATGGTGCCCCCCCCCCCCTCAATCCATTCAGGTAATTTGATATTTGTTGTCTATTTCTTGCAATGTCTGTGTATTTTCAATTGTCTTGTCAGGAGTTTATCTGATCAGTGTTATTTTGTGTGTAGTGCAGTCTTCCTGCAATTACTATTATATGTACATGTACATGTATATTTTATAATGGAATAAGGGAAGGTGGTTCGGTAGGTGTTTGCATGGTGCTGTCCTTACTGGATGTTTTGATGAAATATATATCTTATCTAATCCCAGAGCTATCAGAAACCTATTTCAGCGCAAAGTTTTAAAATGCTTGAAGAAAACCATGTAAGTAAGTTTCTAAATTTAAAATCGAACTTACCTGCCCAAGAGTGGAATCCAGTGATCGGGCGTCACGAAGTTTTAATAATTCGTTACTTATTCCGCGTAAGCTGTTTAAACTTCCCTCTGGAAATAAAACACACACACAAAAATATATCAGGAACTATTAAAAATATAATAAACGGAGGAGTTTATCGGTTATAAAAGTATATTCCTGGGTTTTGAAGGAGACTTCAAACTCTATTTGTTCACCAACACAGTATGCCAGATTTTTGGTTAAAACCAAAGCAGTTAACAAAAGTCACTCAGAGAGTGTGAGACTTCACCAGTTTTTGGTAGTCTCTGTGTATGAATGAAAGAGATAAGTTGGAATCAAGTTGGCCTGTGATTCACTAACAACACTCTAAATATAGTCAACCAATCCTTACTCTTCTCTGGTCTAGAGCAAGCTGTATACAACAATAGTGTTAAAGAGCTAATTCCTATCCTAGTCACTGAAATATATCTCCAATAAATCTTGATGAACAGTGTTTCATTCACAGAACAGCAATTTAGCTGTCAATAGTGCTGGGGTATTTGTGACAGATGTCATGCAAGAGGCAGGTTATGTTTCATCTTTCAAGAACACCCCATACCATTCTTCATAGGGTTTTATTCATAGAATTTTTTTTTCCTTAGGTTTATATAGAATTAATTGATCAATATTGACAGTACTTAATTATGTTCATTTCATATAGTAAAATAGTCCCGAAATGACCTAATGACCTAGTTTGTGTGGAGTGGATGTTAACCACCATCTCTCTCTCTCTCTTTCTCTCTCTCTCTCTCTCTCTCTCATATATAGTAACAACCTATCTACTATTAGCTTGTTCAGACGCCTAAGTTGAACTGGTTTAAAAACCCCTGGGATCGTAATACCAGTTTAACTTAAGTGTCTGAACGCAAATATGGGGCAAATAAACCAGTTTAAACACCCCAGCTTGCGACCTGTCTTCAATAAGTCTTTTTATTTTAAACTGGTTCATCTTAACCGTCTGAACGGGTTGGCTTAAAAACCCCGGCACCAGCTTGCTTTGAGCATGCGCAGTACGCAGTTAGTTACATTTCTGTGAAAATATCGGGGTCAGACAGTGATAATGTTATCGAAAGCGTGCAAGAACCGAATAAAGAATATGAAGCTACCCCTGCGTAGTTAACTCTAACCTACGACCGAAGAGGTCAGAATAGTTAACCTGGTTTGGCTTATAGTACGTGTGAAAGCAACACGATGCTGTCTTAAAAATCCCAGCGATTATGAACTGGTTTAAAAATAAGCGTCTGATCGGGCTATTATATGTAAACCTGTAAATAAGACAGCTAGAACAGACATTTTCAGGCACAATTCCTCTGCTACCTGTCATTTTGTCAGGCAAACATTTGTCTTTTTTTATTGACAATTTTTATACATGTCTGACACAAGGATGTCTGATAGTGCCTAATCTGAGCATTTGTCAGGTAAGACTAAAATCGTTATTTTCAGACCTGAATATGTATCAATAAAATTTATAAAATTCTGTATCTATGGCTTATTGTGATATTAAAGCGAGAGAAAGGTTTAACGTCAACGCAACATACACTAGGTCATTTCGAGACTAACAAAATTTACATCTTTATTTCAACAAATCCATTGAATGCGGGGGTCTTTACATGACTCGAAATGTTCGCCTATCTACTTGTCGACGACAGGCGATTTTTACATCTGACAGGTAGCAAGTAAAACTACCTGTCGTGGACTAAATCTTACTTACTGTTCAGTAAATTGACTCAAGACCACAACAGTCACGTCCACGTCGTGTACATTTAATTATTAGTTTCTAAATGCAAGGATTAAGCATCGAAATACCGCGAAAATCCACCATTTGCACTCTTTACATTTCACTCTGTCGTAGGCTAGTTACTCACACAGTTTGGAAGTAGCCAATTTTATAACAATGAATTTCACACCATCTGCTTGACACTAGTTCATAGCATTATGAAGTATTATATCTAAATAAATCAAAATAAATATAGTGGTGGCTGGAATGGAAATGCACACGGCTGGTGTATTTAATCATTTAAAAAGTTTAAAACAATTTCCATAAATAAAGGCTATGAATAATTTATAAGAAAATTTGACAAAATCAAATAATTTGGTTGGAAAAATATTTGATATATAAATATAATATTAGTGTAAATATAGACAGTATATATGAGAAAGGAATTCCAGGGGGCATTACTTGTCCTCCGCACGCGGTACATGTAAACATGGTGCCATGCACAGTCACAGGTGTGAAGTCGTGTTTTGATATTTAATTTATTACGGACATTTTAGAATCTTAATTCTACATCCCAACAGCGAAGTATTTAATTTAGCATGCAAGTTTGGTAACATGATACTTGGCGGAATTCATGTGGATACGAATTATAGACAGGGCCGTAACTAGCTCAGAGCAACAAGGGGGGCGGGAAGTGTTCTCAGGGGTGCTGTAAAATTGACAGACAATGCATATGGTTTTTATGGTCGACAATTTTTTCACAGGGGAGGTTACAGGCCTGATTATAGAATTGCACGAATCTTCGAGTCGCTAAGTTAATTGGTCTTTGATAATTGAGAGTGACAGATTAGTTACTAAAGCACAGGTATGAAGAAAAGCTACCTGTCACTTTTTTTAAACATTTCAAGGCCTGGTCTTTAGCAATGTGAGGAAAGCATAGATCCTAGAGAAACCAAGGAATTATTTCATGTCAAATACCTCATTGAGATCAAAACCACAATAACCGACTTTACAATCTAATGTGCACCACTCTGCTCTACCTCATGTATACAATTATTATTATCAACAACTGGGGAAATGGGTATATGGTATTAAACCTACCAATTACATGCAAGGATCTAACATCACGCAGACATGTCATTGGAAGGCTTACAGTATGTGTGTTTTTGTTATATCACCAGGAAATAGCCTAGTTTGTCCAGTAATAGAACCAAGGAGATTTCAGACACCAGGTCATAGACAGATATAAACAATCCACACACACCTAGGGCTTCAATGATCTATAAATTTAACAGATCACTGAAGCTTGATACATGTTTGGTCATATTAGATCAGTAATAACACATTTACATGGAAAACGCTTCAGGATAAAACATATAATCCTGTTAACCAGAGTCTGAAATCCATTTTCTTAAAGCCGGACTTATGTCACACTAACAACGAGAATTTCTAAACTGGTTTTAACTGGGCTATCTGCAACGGACCAATAATTCACTTTTGAGAAGTGGTGTTCAGCCGTGGGATGAAACCAGAGGACCTGGAGTTTAAGATTGAAACCATGCCATAAATATTAAATTCAAATTCAAATGGCTTGAAATTTAACGTATTACTTTTCTTCAGCAATCGAATATACGCCATGCAGTACTATGAGGAAAACGCTTCAACAACAGCAGTACTACAGCCTACTCTTTAGTTCAATTTGCAGTTGTCCGGGGATCGTCAAAAATGCTGCCGTCCAAATGACTAGACGCTTATCCTCGCCATATCCTCTGTCCTGCACCAGTGACAATGCGGAAAGCAGTCTGGAAATTCAAAAGGAACTTTACCGGCCACCATGCGGATCGAACCCGGGTCGTTCTGGTTAGTAAGATAATTGAGCTTTCCTTCATATTTCTGCCTGCCTTAAAGCCTTTAAATCTATCAAATTTATCTCAAAGGTAAAAAAAAACCTGAACGGTAATGTTATTTTGAAATCATAACCTGTTGTACTGAATGGTACCTGTTTTCTACTTTTAATATTTTACGAGTTTTCCACGTTTTTACATGCATCAAGGTTACCAAACACATGTGTAGAACATGATAGTGCACACATCAGTGAAAATTTGAAAGTTTGTAAAAGCCGAGAGGCATAAAGCTACACAGTTAAAGATGCCAGATTTAGATAAAGAGCTGGCCGTTCTTGCTATAACAGTTCAAAATTAGATCATGAAAAATGAATACATCGAACATTTAACACGGTTAAAGATGCCAGGTTTAGATAAAAAGCTATAACAGTTCAAAATTAGATCATGAAATTAATATCTCGGGTTTTCAAACTGCAAATGCAAATAAATTTGTGTTGAATTTCTATTACTTTTAATTGAATAAAGACTTTTAACATATAAAATTATAAAGCTAATAAATACTTCTAGAACAATAGAGTCAGATGATGTATAGAGGTGTGGAAAATCAGTGGTGTTATAAACACTTCCAGAACAATCATAATATCTGTGGTTGGTAATTTTCGGCCTAGATTCCATCAGAGAGAGAGAGAGAGATGGGGTTTAACGTCAATTCAACACAAACTAGGTCATTTCGGGACTAACATATTGTTTAAATTTTTTCAATAATTCGCGTGCGCGTAGGGGTCTTTAGCGGTGGGAGGAAACAGGAGAACTCAGAAATAACCCACGAGGTTGGACAGGCTTGTCACATACAACCGGGGATTCGAAAGCACGCCAGTTGACACAATGAAGATTCCATCGGATTAAACTGAGGCCTTCCAAGAGATTTTAGAGCAAATCATAGGTGGTACTGGCTTGTGTTGACTATACATTTCATTGCATAATATACTCAGCCAAATTAAAAACTTGACACTGATGAGTCAAGTCAAATAAATTTTAAAGTGTTTCTAACAATAGTAAGTAGTAAGAAGCCTTTAATTTCATAAAATTGTAAAGTCACGTGGATCACGTGACTTTTGAGCATATAAAGATGAAAAACCTGAAAAACACGTGCAAACACAAACTCATGAGGTCAACCGACGCAAGTTTGCTTAAACTGAACACGCACACGCACAAATTTAAATTGTTATTTTCATCTTTGTTAGAAAATGCCGTGCCTTCAAATGTAGAACATCTACGTGCTATAGGTAGGCTCTATGCTGGTCAGTCTGTGGTCACTGTTGCAAGAGCCTTTAATTGTTCACGCCAGACAATAATTAATCTTAGAATGAGAGTGCTTCAAACTGGAACTATTGCCGACCGCCCAAGGGCGGGAGCGCCACGTGTGACGTCACTCCAGGAAGATCAAGCAATACGATTACGTCATCTTAGAAACAGATTTGTCACTCCA